TCAATCAATAATGAGAGCAACAGCACCAAGAGAAACAAAAGCCTCTTCATGCAAGTTTAAGGAGTCAGATCCTTGACAGTGCTATCTTTTTACACACTGCTTTAAACAGTTTTGGGGTTTATTTCTGTTGGTCAGTTGGATAAAAATGCAGAAGTTTCTCTGTCCCATCACAGTCAGATATTTGAGAAGCACTGCAGGTGTCCACCTGCACTCTAGTCCATACAAGCAAGTGATAAGCTTTTATGATAACCTGCTATGATTACTATGCAATTGATTCTCTATGATGGATTCTAGTGTTTGAAATAGTGCAGCCTTTGCCACAATAAAAATCTTGTGTAAGTACCGTAATACGAAAAATTTAACTTAAGAAATCAAATGACTGTTGAAGTAATTCTGTTTATGTATTCTTACTTCAATAATTTATGGCTTTATTTGGAAAGAATACTACTTAACATCCTCTGTACCTTCATCCATGAATTCTACTCCTATCCCCAATACGGTCAAGCCAGAAGAGTCCACCTACACAAACACCTATCTACTGAATATTACTACGCTTTGTATGGCTGAAGAAGAAACACTCTCTAAAGATTATGTTCTTGGTGGCATCGGTCCTACTGACTAAAAAATAGGATGGATTCTGTAGCAAACGAAGTAGTTGGCACAAATGTTTGTATGTGGAATCACCTGGAATTGCTCAGGTACTTTGTGACGTTCTCTCACTGGTAAGAGCCTGCGTCTTGGTTCTGAAGAATCCCGATCAGCACAGCCCACGCTGCTGCAGGCTGCAGTCACCTTAGCAGCAGCACGGTTTGGCTATGGCCATTTAAAGGCATTTAGCATAACGGTTAACCAGAAGCCTCAGCACCACTTAAAACCTACGCACGAGAAAAATACCTTCATTTTCTTTTTATATGTATGTGATGTACAGGAGAACCTTGGGCCCAACATTTCCTTCACGTGGCAGTGCACATAGGCAGCAAAACTGGTGAATTCCCATTTGCATGATACTCCAGTTTTGTTTTGCACTAATATGATTACCCAAGACAGCAGAATACTGAATGAGGCTCCTACCCTTCTTCTCCCCAAAATACCTTGTGTTTTTACATTAGGTATAAGCAATTTTTTAAACAGACTATAAAGGAATGTTTCATATGAAGTCCTTGGAAACAAAAACATTGTCTTTGATAATCAAATTCTAACTTTCCCTTCAAAACTGAAAAATAAGAAACCTGTAGCTTGCTAACATGAGATGACTCATGCAAATAAAGTTTTGTACGTACCCTAGTACTGGCTAGCTATGTTTAAAAGTTTCTTTCAAGTTCTAGCTATTCTTTACATGCAATAACTAGGTAGCTTGCACAACTATCTTCCACTTGTTCTGAATGAAGAAGAGTGTTCCCAATTCTCACAATTTTATTAGAATCTCTTACCTGGAACTCCAGTTAAATTGGTAACAGAAAATTCCATCAGTACCTCTCAACTTCATTCAGAATTAGCATGCTTCCAGACCTCAAGCTGAGAAAATTCAGAACACAAAGACTCAAAAGACTACTTGGGACTAGCCTTTAAAACCATTACAGTAAGAAAAGCAAGTCTGGTTTTGAAAGCTACATTAAGTTACTCCCAATAAGTAGCTCTAGATTGCCAACAAATTCAGCATAGTCTTGTTCTCTACTCAATCCCAACCTCAGAAGTAATTTACGTGCTATTCCAATTCTAAAATGTCAAATGAGAAATCCAGTTAGTGCTTTCTGGACCAGGTATCAAATAATTTAACTGACCTGTGCAGACTATCCCAACCCCAACATGCCACAGTAATTTAAAGAGACACGGCATGGGAAACAGTTATTTGAGGTATTTGAATACGAAAATATTCAAACATATTTCTATGTGGGTGGGTGGGAAATTGCAGTGGCATAGACATTTCCAGTGTTTCATGAAAATAAATCTTAATTTCTTTCAAAGCACTTAACAAAAATGAACTGTTTTCACTACATTTCATTTCATTCTTTCTTCCAAGAGAGAAACCACAAGATTTGCAGTTAAATAAATCGATGTAGAGTAATGCCGATTCCTGAACTTTACAAACTTTAGCTATCCTCACATGCTCACTAAACATCAAAACTAATACAAACAACATAATGTGACAGACTGGAAAGTTAAATAAGCCACAGACACATATTATCCTCACTTAGCAAATGGCAGATATTTTTACAACTTCTAAAGAAAGTTTATAATGGAACGGGTTTCTTGTCATAAAATTATCCTAGGATAACAGCTTCAACAAATAAGAACTTGCAATCAGCTAGCTAAATTCCTCAGATGTGTCTATATCCTGTAGCAAAAGTGTGTAAGTCACTGAAAGTGGTAAATGCTTTACCCTAGGGTCAAAGAACTAACATCTCCGTAGCCGAGGGCAACATTTTGATGAATGTGAAACAGCTGGATTAAATATATCACGGGGAACAATTGTGCTCCCATGGTACATCCAGCTGCTGCAAAAATAAACCCGGGGGCGGGAAAGCCAAAGAATAAAAAAACCCAACAATAAAAAAAAAACCCTCCTACACCATACAATCCCACTGTTTCTGCATATCTCCTTATAAAATACAGGACTCTATGCAAATACTGGTTGAAAATGAATGTAGAGATTAATTTGTTAAAAGCAAAACAAGATTATATAAACTATTAAAAAAAATCAAGGAATAACTGTTTTATTTAAACAGCACTTAACAGCGATATTTTTACCTTCAGTGATTTTTTCCCAGACTTGAGGAACATCGGTATCTGCTGGGGAGAAAGTTATTTTTAAAATAAACAGAGACTCATAATAATCCTGTTAATACTTTATTAGTGTAAGTTTTTAGCTTTCTATTGGACAGAACATAAATGCAAACTCCAAAATAAATTCAGAGTCCTCTGCCATTCAGTAGAGGTGACCATGGCAGCCTGTTTCATGTTCATTCTTTGTTACGGAAACGAGAGGAGGAGGAAGGGAGGGAAAAAGCATCAATAGAACAATTAGGCACACAGCTGACACTTACTGTACAACGATATGCACAAGTAATTTATAACAGCTATATTCATGAGATGTGCTCTTCGGATTTTTCCCTTGTCACATACGAGCTTTGCTCAGATGAGCAAGGATCATTGAGAACACGGGAATTAACTAAGTAACAAACAAGACTTTTAAAACAAGTCCTTAAATAAACTAACGCAACAACAGAATGGAAAATTGTTCAGCTGAGAAGACATTTTTAACCTAGACTTCAAAACATTAAAAATTCATTTATTTTACAGTTATTCAAATACACATGCATTAAATGAAAATATTGCACAAAATTAAAATTTAGATTGTGGAATTCATGTATTTTTATTTTGGTACACATTCTGGTAGCACTTAAAATATGCTGTTTAGTTGTAGCAAACACCAGCAGCAGAAGCTCGAGGATGAACCAAATGAAAAATTCAATTACTCATTTTCTCTTAAAAATAATTAAGGCTAAAACAAGTGCATTTGTTGACAATGGCACAATTATCAGCAGCCAGTCACAGCACCCAAAGGCCAGAAGATACACCCAGACACTTAAGTGCTGTATATTAACATTCAGTTTCGGAGACCTTCTAGGATAATAGGCTGCATGGGTCAACAGGGCAGCTATTTTAGATCGTCACCAGGAAAACCATTTAAATAAAGATACATACAAATTCTTTTTAACAAAAAGTATTTGTTTCTGATGATTCTTGCCAGCCAACAGGCACCACTGCATTAGGAAGCCACATTCTGTATTTAAATACAGGAGACAAAACTTTGATACATATACACACATGCACACACATGTATATAAATGTGTGTATAGGTATATATATGTAATAAATTAATTAAGTAAAATCACTAATAAACATGGCATATTATGTTCGGTTCACATTCCTAGAGATATTATTTTATTTTTACAGAAATGTACCAGATATTTAAAAATCCCAAATTTGCACATGATCACTATTGTCTTGAAATTTTTCATGGTACCTACAGATAGATAAAGGTTCCACAGATTCGACACAACAGTATTTGTACTTCCCACTTTCATAGTGCGTTACAAATTCAGTGATTTAAAAGACATAAATTAGACTTGGTAGTATCAATGATATATTTACTGTATTACCAAGGACAATTGCTGAACGATCTCTCATCAGTCAGATGTCAGGTATGCTTGAGCCCCCTGACATCAGAGGAAGATACAGGCATGTAAACAATAAGAGCTGGCTACGCTGCTTACTTCACACAGAACTCTGTAATTTTGTTAAATTCAACAGCACTCAATCATCACGCTTCTACAGAACCTGCAGAGAGGAAGGGGGAAGGGTTCTTACATATTTATCAACTTGTGTTCTTGGGATTATAAAAGAAAGGGATTTCATTTACAGTATTTAGTTCTGCAATAAAGAAAAGACACAAGTGCACTTGAGCCCATGCATACTGTATGAGAATGTTAACAGTACAATATGATCATTATTAAGTAGTATGATAAAAGGCTACATCGCATTAATAGAGTCCATGAGAAAAAACGAACTATATAGAGGCTTCAGTCAATTTAACTAGGTCCTTAGAGAGCCTTCTATCTTCTCTTAGAACGCTTTCATAAAAGGTTTATGTTCCTCCCTCACATAAAAGGATCATGTCTTCCCATTAAGACACAAATTACTACAAGGATCCTTGATCAATAACTGTATCTTACCCTGTGTTTAGCGTTCAGGAAAAAACGGACTCAATAGGATTACTTTCTATTCACCCGGATAGTGGTGCTCGAACAGTTAGGGACCCCAAAAAAGAAAACACAAACTGAGATATGCTGTGGCCAAACAGGATTATTCAGTTGTTACTTTACTTTAATTGGACAGAAATTCTTCAATGAAACTAAACAGATGGATGTGGGGCCTTGATGTCAAATTTGTATTAAAATTTTACACTATGCAAAAAATAAAAAAAATATTTAAAAAAATATTGTAGTTTTATCTCCTTTTTATTTTCATATATACACTGAGATGCATTCAGGAATTTCCAAGTGTTTGCATATGCCTAATGAAATCCTTTACCTGTGAGGAACCAACTAATTCTAGTATTTTTCCATAATGAGGGTTACAGACTAAAAGGTAAGGAATCTTTCAATTTAGTAGGACAGTCTTTTACACCCAAAAAAGTTTCAAAATTTAGTGGGGAGTTGTGTGTAACTGTGTTTTTAGTGCAATGTCCTCATCTTTTAACATGATGTATATCCTCTTTGAAACATGTACCCCCTTCCTTCTACAACTATCAACGTGACATATGCTCAAACATGCCAACCAAACATAAATAGGATGCTCCTTCTCCGCTGAAGTTACATGCAAAATGTATGCCAGGTGCTATAAGAGCAGAATATGGCCCTTAAAGCTACAAAACAAAGGGTTTATTTCTACTGCACCTCTGCCTTTACTAAAACCCCCATTAGATCTAATGTTAGTTTATTTTGCAAAACATGAAAGGTGAAGGAAATGCGGCATAAAGGCCACGTTACCTCAACTTTTCTCTAATAAATGTACTTTTATGATAGGGCTATAACTATTTCTCCCCTCTCCTATGAACCTGCTATTCCAGAGACTACTCTTCCTGTTAGCTCAGCCTTTACAGGAATGTTGAGAGCGCCCTACAGAGCCTCAGTCATAACACAGAAGAATTCCACCTGATTCTCACACATTGCACTATCTCCCAGTGCCAAAACATCCTTTTCTTCCACTGCATCACCGCAGTTGTGCTTTACTCATACAGTCTGGCACTTTTCACTGCTGGCAAAACATCGACTCAGGAATGGAAGGAATCAGCATTCTTACACATTGGGCCAATATTCTTCTCAATGTTGCATGAAGACGCACCAAATCATTTAAGGTACACAAACCCTTCTGGTAGTGGTTGAATTACAAGTGAAGATAAGAAGATCCACAGGTCTTACAGATGCATTAATAATCTAATATGTGACACTAGAAGACTGGTGCAGAAATAACAGCATGTGAGTTTGAAGCCCCAGAGAACCTGCCCAAGTAACTAGTCCTGGACAAACATACACCAGCTTAATAGGATTGAAGTGTCACCTCTTCTGCAAAGAAGGCGCTTGAGTAGAATGTAGTCTCTGTTTATACCTCTGCATCTGCTTTGACCGTGAATGCAGTTTGTTGAAGAGCTCGTGGAACTTATTCTGTGGAAATAAGGTTTCTAGAAATCTTTCCAGAAACACGTACACCATTCTCTTATTCAGTTGAGTGTGCTGGAACATTTCAAAGACTCGAAGAATGCCTTTCCGAGTTGTCTCAGCACCTATGATGTGCTTCAGTTCATCTACAAAAATGAAAGTTACATAGAAGTTTAAGCTAAATTCTGCTTATGTGTTAACAACAAACTTAAAGTGAATATTAAGTCTTTCAAATTAAGCAGCTTGGAATTTGAAGTAACAGCACCTCTATTATACATAACATGACTAGTCCTCCTACAGCAGAAAGGATTTCTAAAAGTTACTTCACTTTTACACTATGTATGTGGCAATATGTTATTTTAGATGAATCATGCTGTATTGAAATCTAGGTATTTTATGCACTAAATTTAAATCCTCTAATGAAACTGAATTCCAGGTTGGTTTTAAGAGAATTACAGTTGCAAAGTCACCATATATGTGAAAATATTCAGTATTCTAATAATAAAAAACCTTTTTTATTTAAATACAGTTAATAGGTCAGCATTTCTTTACAACATTTCAACAATCAACAAGAATACCGACATTAATTCTAGCAACAATATATGGTAAGAATTATTAGGTTTCAACCCCAGAATTACTTACCTGGCATTACCTCCAGTAATTTGGTCTTCCCTGCCACTCTCGTTCTCATTCTAATAGCTTTGTCCCTCCGTGGAACACTCTCTGCTAAAATGCCGTTGGGCCAAAAAGCATCTCTGTAACAAAAGCAAATCTGTCAAAATACATTAAAATTTTATCACGTGAAAGGCTCTTTTTAATCCCTCAAAGTTATCTCATAAAATAAATACAAGAAAGTAATTTGCACACAACGAAACACACCCTTCAAATATTAGAACAGGGAAAAGGTGAAAAAGAAATCAAAAGCAGTAAGTTCAATACACTTAATGTATTAGTAGCTACCATATACTTTTTTAGTACAAGAATTAGATGAAAGAAAATTTTAAGAAAATATTACACACCAAAACAATTCAAATACCACATACTTGTTACATGAAATACAGCTAAGGTTTGCTTTTACCAATCAGTCTCTATCGCCACTGAAAGATTCTAGGCTTAGGTATATTAATTGCTTCATTAGATCTCTGATAGTAGTTAACCTATCAACATGCTAAAGCTGAGATAAAGTAGTTTCAGTGTAGTATAAAGTCCCATGCAAAAGACATGCCTATGTCTAAACAGGTACTTTGCCTCAGTGAATGACATAGTCTTTTTCTGAGTAAGAAGTGCACATTCTTACTCCATTTTATTAAACAATAACAGAATATCTGTAAAGTATGACCCTTTGGCTAATACGTGATCCTACTTTATCTCTTTCACCCCATCAAAAAAGAAAAGGTGGAGATGGAGGCAAGTGGCTCTTGCTCAACAGCACTGCAGAAGCTATTAAGGCTTCTAGGAAACAGAAATGACAGAGCCTTTGATACTTTCAAGCTCAGGCTTCAGTTCTGTTCTATTTGCCCACATGCAAAACGTACCAGCCTAGAGCTAGAGTGTTTTTAGTAATAATTATTTGCCTTTTAAGGTAACGCATGCATATGCCTTCATCAAGGTAAACAATGCATTTCATCCAGTAATCTGATGAAATCCATAAGTACACCCATACGCTAGCTCTTCTAGACTGGTTAACAAAGAACATTATAAGGAAGAGGAGGAAACTCCAAATTGCTTTTCTTCATGTGACAGTTACTTTCTCTCAGTTAACACACATAAAAAGCAATGAATGTTCCAAGTGGAATTCTATACAGTAATAATAATTTCCTCACATAAAAAGAATAGGAAGGATATAAAGATATTAGACATCAACTGGCAAGCACTTCATATTTAACATGTATGATAAAAGACATACCTGAAGCGTTTTACCGCATCTGCTACTTGCTCAGGAGATGTCATCCAATCAACATGATCTACTATTTTTCTAAAATTAAAGAAACAGGTGTCTCATTTATTTTTTGAAACAGAAAACAAATCAGCACAGCTTTTTAAAGAGCACTCTAGGGCAAACAAAGTGTAATTTCAGCTTTCTCCAACTCTAAGTAGGTTCTATAATACTGCACACTAGGAAGGCAAATGCCATTCCTCAAGATAAAAATCTAAGCTAAGCTCACTGATCACTCCTCAAGTTAAAGCCTTCTTCACTTCGAGTAAATGTACAATGACTAAGGAGGCTGGAAAATTGATGTTGCACCTCCCATCAGCATTATATAAATGTTCTGCTTGAGAAGCGCTCCTCTTGATGGAACACTCTTCAAGTTCTGCTTCTGTAAGCAAAGGACCTACTTAAAATCTCAAGTTAACATCCTTATGCATGCAGTTACTTCATAACCTTTAACAGGAGACACAGACTGATCACAAACTTTCACCTTCACTCATCAACACATACACACAGCCAAATACTCAAATCTAGCATGTTTACAGAAATGATATACACATCTGTGTATCACCATAATCCCAGGATTATTTCCACAAACTTAATTTGAGTTTAGTTTTCCAAGAAACAGGAAAACACAATTTTGCTGCAGAATGCCAGTAAATGCAGAAGCAAAATAGTTCTTCACACACCTCTGCAATAAGAAAGCAGCAGCCTGTGCACAAACTCAGTTACTTATAATACAATCTGAAAACAGCCAAAAGTAGTCAGAATTGTTCAACAGGGCAGCATGTTTTTGGAAGCACAAGTGTCAAGGTAATTGTCACCTGGCCACAAGGAATTATTTGAAAAACACCCAGTGCTGCCACTATTACATGGCTGCATCGCTACTGCTACTACAAGAACTGTCTATATGCTTAACAGTGTTGATGAAAATGTCAAAAATGTACTTGTGAAGGGTAAAAAGTAATGATACAGTGAGAAATGTCCTGAAAAAGTAATAGGAAACTACTTCTCACCTGCCAGAAATTAAGTTTTTGATTCATGGCACTAATCCAAAGTGACAATTTAGTGCCAGTGCTATTTCTAGAAATTTTTTTGTTCTATACTATTATTTACATTTCAGAAAAAAATTATTAGAAAGGAAAGCCTAGAAATAGTAGATATCTAAGCTGAGAGCAAGAAACATTATTTAGCACTACTAATTTGCTTTGCATTTGCATGAGAAAGGGTATATGTGAACTACAGTGAACAAGGAGGGCAGCAGAACGGACCCCATAGCAGTCCTTTTCCTTTCCCCCCGTCCACCTTCAAAAGTGTGAGAGCAAAAACTTAACACAGCAAGTCAGTAAAGTTCATGTAACAAGATAGTGCCAGTGTTCTTCTGTGGCAAAGAGATGCAAACAGAAATAATGCAGAAAGTAATAAGCACTATCAACAACAAAAAGTATAGTGTAAAACACGGGGTAAAAAGCACTGACACCATCAGTACTAAGATGCATTCACAAAAACATGAGCTCTTGTTGATGTGTGAAAACTCTTTTGAAAGTTCTCTGGCATACAAGAGTGACTGGAATTGGTCTTTCATTAACATTTTGTGTTTATCTGCATTTTATACCACATTTGTACTTGGTTTATTGATCCTCTTCAAAGGGGAATTAATGCAGATTTAAACCACAATAATTTAGTAACACCAAAAAGGATTTACAGACACAGTCTATACAGTCTTACTCACACGATCACTCTATATAAGCAAAGCAGTACCTATTAATTGTGTCACCGTATGTTGCTCTAATAAGCTGCTGAAGCAGATTTTTTATATTTCTTCTTAACCACTGATTTCTTTCCTTTAAATCAAAGACTTCATCCATGAGGAGGAGCATCACTCTCAGTGGAATATTGTCATCCACCTGATCAAGTGAGTAAAAGTGTAATTAGTAAACTTTTATTTCAGTTCAAGAAAGCTACTGTTCTAGTAGCTACTTCACAGGACAAATGCTTCAGTATGAGCAGAATAACAACAGGCACACTTTGCTGTGTATTTTACTGTAATATAAAATCTTCCCTAAATCTTCTATAACACCACTAATAGTAAAGAAAGATTCGAAAATTTAACTAGGCTTAAATCCATTGAATCTTTGAAATAAGACAAAAAGAAACAGTTATTTCACCAAGGCTGAAGAAAGTTAATACAAGTAAATATTGTACTTACGGATACACTGCGTCAAATTTAGAACCTCCTAAGGGTACACTGCAATGAACTGCCTTTTAGTTAGACACCGCTCTAACCTGCATGCCTATTAAGTGCTTTTATGTTTGTAGATTAAGATTATTATTTAATAGAACATGTTACACAGATTGTCTTAGAAAAAACAACTTCTATGGAAATCCTAAAACAGAGGATTCAGTAACTATGTAAAAATTTTTAAAGATGGATGGCATACACTCGTACTGTCAATATTTTTCAAATACTAAAATTTGAGGGAAAGTTTACTAAATTCTGTAGCTTGAAAGTATTAGATTATCATCTTAGTTGTTATTAATGTTTCTCTTATGGAAACAACAGCAGCTTCTCGTGGCCTGCTTATAAGCCAAAATACAAGCCTACATATTGTTAAGCTACTGAATAAAAAGACAGCATTTGAAGTTACAACTGCATTATACCAAAGACCACAAATATTTGTCTGAAATACAACAAATTATTTTGATTTTTTGACTGATTATTTAAACTTTATATTTATCATTAAAACTTAACAGAATAGCAAGCTAAAATTAAACTCTTACCATATCCTCAGCAGAATTTATTTTAAGACTGAATGCACTTTCTCTTTTTTTTTTTAATTAGGATTTTTACATTCTAAGCATAACATTCAGAATTTTGTTTTGTATTTGGAATCTGATACAGCTCTACCTGGAAAAGCAGTCTGCACTGTATTTTTAATGCAACGCTGGAAGAATTAGCAAGACCTCACAGCTATGTGACATTTTTTTGGTGAACTACACAAGTGCATCTTTATATACAACTGGAACACAGACAGCAGATTCATAATCCAGCTGGAGATTCTACAGATCCACGCCTCACTTTTACAGTACTGCTTCTCCACTTAAAGTTCCATTCAAACTGCCGTATTTTCAGTCCGATTGAGTGACTGTAAGTTGCAAACAATGCATCTTAAATGAGCTGTTTAGAGTTGAAAGGTTTTAGAATATTTGAAATCTGCCTTTCAGAAACACTTGGTATGTTAGCTTAGAAGCTATCAAGAATTGTAGCTTCTATTAATTTTACAGAAGATCAATAAAATATTTGCAGAGAAACTGCTCATATACTGGAATGATATAATTTTGTTTTGGCTATGCAAAACAGAAGCCTCAGGACTATCAAAGATATACATTTGTAATTACCAATGTATGGCTACATTCCAATATAGTGCAAAATAACACAGAAAAAAGAAAACCCAGAACAACTCAAGGCTATGTTATTTGAGCAAAAATACATCTACCAAGCCATCATCGCAGTTACGCACGAGAAGACAAACTGGAATGCTTTGATGTGACCAAAAAACCTGAAATGTGAAGGGCAGAACAGGTGCAGATTTAAGACCACAGAAAATTTCATATAATCACTGGTAATCTTATGGCCTTTCTGTCCTACTTAGAGATAAAAGGTTTTTACCATTTGTTTTCACATATATGACCAATATTTAAATCAAAACAATAGCAAAATACCATAGCTTATGATAATATCAAGAGCTTAAACTGCACTTTCAAGTTTCTAATATTACTACTCTATACTTTTTAGGTGCCCCCTAAAAGGTCACATCAGAAATCAGCATCGATAAAATGAGGCTAGCAGTCTGGAGGGAGGAGGGGTAAAAAAACCCCAAACCAACCCCCACCCCACAAAATACAGCAGCAGTAGCATGTACACTCTAAGTCATTCTACTGTTGTGCAAACCATTTTAGTACTAACAAAGATGTTAATTCAGAAGTAAATGTGTTAAATTTCTTCTTAAAAAGTTAAGAACTGTTTGTAAGTGCCTGCTATAATATCATAAGAAATACATAGTTTAACATAAGTAACTCTTTAATCTAGTTTTAGAGGCGTCAACTTTGAAAGCACAAATGTCAGACTCACATTGTCATCAATTGGTGCTGCAACACGGCAATGGTCAGGATCTGAATAGGTTTTCTGGATCAAAGGAGGCACCTACAATGGAAAAAAGGTAGCGTTTATGAAGTAAAAAATACTTTAGAATACCAATAAATTGGATCAATTTTCATAATCAATTTGGTTATGGAAATGAAAACCAAACAGTTGGTCAAAAGTCAGTTGCATACTAGATAAACATACAGTAGTCCTTTCATCTTCCAACAAACCTGAAGGTATCATGCCATAGCTATCAAAGCTACCAACACCTTTATGACAACCCACACATATTTTCTCAAGTGCCTAACGCTTCAACTGAAAAACAGCTAGAAATTCATATGGAACTGATATTTCTTCTGGTATTTCCTCTTGATCTTAAGTCCTGCCTAGTCATGGACTTCCCAGTGAGTATAACCGCAGATATACTGTTAGTCACACACCAGGGAAGTTACCAGCAATGAGAAAGTTCAGAGCCAATTATTTTATCTCACAAGTAATGAACAAAATCAAACACCCCCTCATACAGCCGCCCCCCCCCGATTCATTATTCCTGTTCGTGGTTTAAGGGTTAACTCATCTTGGTTGCTGTTCTACATCTGCCACATATAACTGTTTTGGTAACACAAAATGGAACAATCCCTGATCACAGACCTTAGCTACACACAGAAAGAGGAAGGCAAGACAAAGAAGGGTAAGATGGACATGTTAGGAAGATTACTGCTTTCATAGGACTTCCAGATAGCATGCCATGCTACCATTCCCCACCTCTAAGGTATTACATTTTAGGAATATAAGAGATGAGGAAAGATGGCAGGAAAGACAGAAAACTTAATTAAAAACAGAGTTCAGCAAGGAATAAGGCAGAAAAAAAAGCTATCTCCTTACTTCGTAAGTTTCATAATGTATGGGTTTTCTCTAACATAAGCAGCAGATGCAGCAAACTAGCTTTATAAGAATGGGTGGTAAAAAAAATAAGAAAAGCAGTGACTCTCTTCTCAAGTGGCTACACTGAATTAGTGAAGAAGGATCACTGTAACAGTCTGTAGATGCCATCTTAAAATGTGTTACTTCATAGCAAAGAGAACTCCATGTTTATAGGATAATGACTGCTGACCCTTATTAAAAGGGTATAGGTCTAAACGAGATTGCTTTCCCATCTAATGACTTGACTCTTCATTATAGTATACAACATAGGTTTAAGTGAGTCGATATCTCTTATTAATTCACTAGTATGCATTAACTACCAAATATTTTCTTACCTTGAAAAATGATTGCTTTATGTCTTGTCCCAATCTCTCTGACATTTTACCCATGTTGTCTGACATTTTAGTCATTCCCTCTGCCAGGCTGTCAGGGAGAGACTTGACTGCATTTGATACATTTCTCATAGAGTTACGCAGTGGGTTTACAAATGTGTCCATCTAAAGGGGAAGATGTTTAACCAGAATTGTATAATCTATGAGGACACCAGTATATTTATACACTATGAGAAGTATCACACTGTTCCAGAGAACGATAATATAAAGAACAACTCAAATCGTTTAACTTCATCACAGAATGCAGAATAAGGTTTTAGCGTCACTTTCATTTCTATTTCTTGATGTGACAATTCTATTGCAGATGCTTTTTACACCAACATCACTAAAAGTTTAGAAATAGCTGTATTTGCAAAGCAGATGCCCACACAAACAGGTCACCTGCACCAAGAATCACTTGTCTGAAGAGAGTTCTGGTGGCTTAACAAATAGGATGCACAGCTCAGAGCTCTGAATCTGACCAATGACTCTGAATGATTAAAGCCGCTGAACACATTAACAGCTGGTTTTTAAGGCAAATGCATTTCATCTTTTGGGCTGAAGAGTGGAGAGCATGGTAACAGCAGCAAATACAGGTTAAAGAACTGAGAAAAGAAATTAGAAGGAATGAGACTAAAAAAGAAAAAAAAAAAAATCACAGACGTCTGACAAAGTAACTTGCAACAGACACACTTTAAAGTAGTCTTGGTGCAATACACTGTGTCCGATTTGAAAATTTTATTTCCTTGTCATATAAATAAATTTACCTGTTATAAAACTGATAAACGTTTTGGTTCCATGTGTCCTCAGATACTTTGCCATTCAGAGTATTAAAGCAACTCACTTGCAAGTTGGTTTGAAAGTTCTATATAGCTGTTTAATAAACAGTTCAACATCTCTGTTAAATGCAGTCACTGCACTAATGAATGCTCTAAAGTTCCCTTGACAGTGCAGAACATTCTTACCTTCCGTGCAAAATCCCCCTTCCCTTTGCTGTAGGCTTTATTCTCCAAGAAGTCATACACATAATGGGCTAAAGCTGGAGAAGCCTTCATCATTTCAGGATTTAGTAAGAGCTGAGTAAAATAATTTTTAAAAGATGCTTTTGAATAAATAATGGAAAAGCCCACATCATTCAGCTTAGTAAAAGTTTACCATACACAAAGACACTACATCTTGCAATGTATTTTCTCATTCATTAACCTAAATTTTATTCCAACATTACACTATTCTCAAGATGGAAACAACACACATCTTGATAATTCCCATAATTTTAACTAGTCTGTTAATTATAGCATCTCACAGAAAAACACACAACTTTATGACCACTCAAATGGCTTCTAAAATGCAAAGAAAAAAACCCCAATCTGTGAATGAAAAAATATTACTATTAAACATGGGGCACATATCTTTTAACGGAAAAAAATATTAGCACTCTAAATCGAACAATTAGACTTCAAAATGTTTTATTAATTTTCATTACTTATTGTTAACATGTCCATTGAGTTGGTCAACATATTTTAGTGCTAAATGACCAGAAAGTCCCTGTGAAGTAAGACAACTGAATTCCTTTTGCTGGGCTGATACGGGCCTTATCTGAATGGAGCAGCTGCGTGGCTGTGCTACACCGCCAAAGCCGGTGCCACGCCAATCCTTACACAACAGCACAAGAGAAAGTAACCACAAACATGAGTGTAATGGAAAAAAGTTAAGTGGCATAGAGCTCAAAACCAACACAGCCAGAACTTCACCAGCTCCGAGAAGTTGGGACAGAACTGGCTGAGAATAAACCAAAACCACAAAGAAAAGGCAAACTTGTTAGATAATATGAAGTTCTTATGGTATACTATTTAGGATTTTGTACCACCTACCGTACAGCTTTTTAAAAAAACAAACAAACAAACCCCCCCCCCCCAAAAAAAACCAAACAAAAACTTAGAAAGTAAGAAGTAAGCAACTCCATACTTTGATGGCCAATGCCCTCCCAGCAAAAAGCATGCTAGCAAATTTTCTACCTCAGAAAAAAGAATTCCAACCAAGAACACAACCAAAAACATGTAACAGCTTACCTGCAAGTATGCATTTAAATCTTTTTTCCTCTTTTCCAAAAACTCTCTGTCCATATTGTTAAATGTCTTTTTGCCAGGAAGTTTCAGTATATTTGCAAGGTTTTCAAACTGGAAAAATTAGAGTATTTTTTAATTCTGTTTTCAAAAGAGTTTCAAATCACCATATAAGCTCAGAAATTACAGAGGTCATTATATTCAGCTATTCTTATCTACCATGTAACATCTGGCAAATAATTTCTGCATCAGGCCCACAACTCAGATTCCTCGAAGGAGCTAAAATGAAAGGTAGGCCATCAAGAACAAATGCACGAAAATTCTCGTGAGACTGTCACGGGGAAAATTTAATTTTAATTTTAAACACACACTTGACACTCACTTTTGAAATACAGACTAGTCTAGCGTGCAAATTCTTCCTGTCATCACACCTGCTCAACAAAGGTTTAGGCTCAAGATTTATCATTATTATTTGAGCAAAAGTTAGTAGGGTTATAAGACTACATCAAGAGAACTTGCAAATCTTTTCAAAACATCTTCCCTTTCCTCTCCTGCTCAAACCTACTAACGAAATGATTAAGGTTTTATCCCTGGAGTGGATGGCAGCACCAAGTTTACACATAGGTTATTATACCATGCTTGATATGCCATCTCTTGTGCCTTTTCTCCAGGTAATGACAGTGATTGACGCTGGCTGATATGTCTTCTACTGTTCCAGTTCTACAAGAAGAACAGGTGTTCCAGGAAAGCAGCAGGGAAAGAAGAGGCCCTAACACTTAAGAAGGTTGAACATATTTGCTACAATGCACAAAAACTAAAAAGTGACAAGAATAAAACTGAAGAATCAGGATTAACCACATATAGAATCCAGACTTCATGTAAACAATTAATAATATTCTGAATGCAGTAACGAGCGAAAGGTATTGTATCTAGGCTTTAAGAAACAACAAACAGGTCATGTGGGGAAATTACCGAACAGAAGATGGTCTATTTTTTATCTGGATACTTGTACCTAAACAGAAGCGATGTAAGCAAAGAACAGTCTGTATTTTAAATACAGGTATCTACTTCAAATTATATTTATTACAGTACTGAGTAAAGAAATCAGTGTGACTCTATTCACTGCTTTAAGGAAAAAAGCTCATACAAATACTATACACAGCTAACTACAATTCCGTTTTGGATCAAGTGCCTATTTTCTTTGAAAAACATAAAAAATAATCCCTTCCCTTCCTATTAATTTTAAGTAAAAGATTCTAACCTTCAACTTAACATGTCAACAAAAATGTCTTAGACAAGCACGCAAGAAGGGTGGTCAGTGTATCAGTGACATTCCTGTGCCCATAAATTCAGTAGGAATACGAATTTCATTATCAACACAAAGCAATATTGTTGTGAGCTTCTGAGATGCTACAACGCAGCACAGGAATTTCTTTACTCTCTGCAATCTTAGTGTTCTAGGGCAATGGTTCCATCTTCTGTAAATTCAAAGAACTCAGATTTAGCAACAAGAAATTTCTGAGCTTTCATACTTTGAAAATTTTTGCTTCTGCCATTTTTTTCTAGTCATTTACTGTTAGGTCAGTCTTAAATGACTGCCCCATACCAGCAGAGCATCAACTCACTGTAAGATCAGGGAACTCACACCGGTTTCAACAGGTCTGGGATTCTTCAAAACAGTGATTTAAAAAAAAAAAAAAACCAACAACAATCTATTTGAAGAGGAGTTCAAAAATTGGTATTGCAAATTTATTGACAGCACACTAAGATAATAAGAAGTTCAAAGGAAAGTCACTGTTTATAATTAATACAAATATTCAAGACAATATTTGATTTTTTTAAATAAAGCCTTTTCCATTTTTATTGCTGTTGTGACTTTACAATGCTAACCTACCTGTACAGAATTTGTTCTATACATCTCCCAATTAATAACAAAGTAAACAGATATAATCCAACACTTCTGACTAGTTCAAAGGTTATGCAGCCAATTCTGAGTTCTCCAAAGGCTTGGTTAAAAGAGGAGGGTGAAATACTTTTTAAAAAACTGCATTTTTGACACTTTTACATGTCAGCAGGTTCTACTTTATACCAGCTGGTGAATTACAAATCTCTATTTTTTCTTCTTTCATTTTAGGAGGGTTAAGAGGCTGAGGAGGGTTAAGAGGCTGAGGATACAAGTTCAGCAATAAAAAGCAGATTGTCTAGCAGTACACCAAACTGCCGACAGCTGTCCCTTTTGAGACCCCACCAATCCTTAAGGTTTCACTTAAAACCTAAATACCTATTTCCCAAGCTCAGTTTTTATTTCTTGATCTCTGTAACGAATATAACAAATGAAATATGCCACTGTTCGAGACCAAAGCAAAGGGAGGGTGGGGGCAAAAGCTTTCTAAGTTCCTTTTGCTTTTGTTAAGAGCAATTACCTAACCATCAGGTACTAAACCATATGAACATGCACCTGTAAACTGCTCAGAACAAATAATATCATATAAACAGTAAAAAGAGTACACTTTACTGGAGAATAATGTAGTACTATAATTCCACATCTTAAGTTATTTTGAGAAAGCCAATACTCATGCTGTACCATCACAAAGAAAAAGCACCTGTCCAAGAAACCTTAACAGATTTTTGTGAGATTAACTACCTGCTCAGTGATCCTCATGTGAAAGTCATGGAAGTCACTGTAGCGTCGATATGTCTTCCATGTCTCTTCGCTGTTTGGATTTCGCCGATGGACTGTGATAGCGTACAGTGCGTATGTCTTGCCGTGGTCATTACACACTCCTGCCACAGCATATGGGTCATAGTCAGCATAGACTAGTAGTTTAAAAACAAAAATAAAAAAAGGAACAAACAGAAAGAAGGAAGACGAAAGGACACAAACGTGAAGTGAAGAAATGTCTGGAATGACAGACTTGAGAGACAAAAATGGACATGCAAGCAGAAGAGTAAGCCATTCCTTTATCCAAAACACTATATAGGTGATACCTTCCAGAAAATAACTACACAAACTAAGCAGCCTTAAAGTTAGACAAGATACACTGACATGCAAAACATAAACGAAGAATAGAAAAGGTTTTAACTTTAAAGAATAGTGGATAGATCTTTTAAAAAATAATTTTATCCTAAAGAACTCAAGATACAGGTGAAAGACAACTGTGAAATCAGAAGAAAATCCAGTCTGTAATGTACTCTCTAATCATATTGCAAAAGTCTGTCCATCAAAAAGATCTGTAAATACAAGACACAGTGCTAGCAAGCTGTACGCAGTTTTGTTATTAATATCAGTAGTTTGTTATTAACCATAGATAAAAAATATAAAAAAAAAGATAAAAAAATCTCCCCACACTATTTAAGTCAACAGAAACTCTCTATACACACATGTATGTATTCTGTACGTGTGTGTACATACACATGCACGTGCTTCATGGAAAAGTCAATTTATAAGTGGAAAGAACAGACACAGTTATCTTAAATAGAAGTAAACGTGTTTTTGTTCTCCACTGAGTATTAAAGTTCTCTTGGATATTCCTCCATCACAGAACTCCTCTCAGTATGGAGTTTGTTTCAAGAACTTCCATTTTATCTACAGAATGACCTAGAACCAATACTGTTTACACGGCACACTGTTTAAGTTGGTAACATGTGTATCTCTAAGTATTAAAACAATACCCATTAACCACAATTTTCCAGGGGTTAGATGCAAATACTTTCTAGTCAATTTCCATGAACTTCTCAATGTGCCCATGCTCCATAAAATACACTTTTCCTGACAAATCATCAGCTCCTACCTCTGCTGTACTTTCACAGCCTTGAGTTCTCTCAAGTATATTGAAGAGCTCTAAGCCAGGGAGCACCTCTAAGATAGGCGTAGCTGCTGACAACGTAAGAATTACTCAGCAGTGATGTGCACGGTGGGCATGGAGCATCTTTTCTTTGCCATCTACCTTTTGGCATCCTTTGGAGCATCTCTTCTTTGCCATCTACCCTCTACAAGAAGAATGATGAACCCCAAGAGAAAAGAGTGAGCAGTCGGGATGCTGCCAAAAGACTGTCCAGAGAATGGAGCCAGGAAACCCTGGCCTCACGGGTGCTGAGCAAGCTCTATCCTCTAAACTCGCACTGACCGCTCTGCCGTGCAGACACCAGACCACATTTCAGGGGTGCTGCTAAGCTGCACCTTCAGGAGAACCACTTCAGGACGGCAGTGGCAGAAAAAGAAAGAAGTTGTCCCTGCCACCTCCTTGGTCTGGTCTTGTTTAACATCTTTTATCAATGATCTGGATGACGGGATTGAGTGCTCCCTCAGTAAGTTTGCAGACGACACCAAGTTGGGTGGGAGTGTTGATCCGCTCGAGGGTAGGAAGGCTCTGCAGAGGAATCTGGACAGACTGGATTCATGGGCCGAGGCCAACTGTAAGAGTTTCAACAAGGCCAAATGCCGGGTCCTGAACTTTGGTCACAACAATCCCATGCAACGCTACAGGCTTGGGGAGGAGTGGCTGGAAAGCTGCCCGGCGCAAAAAGGACCTTGAGGTGTTGGTCGACAGCCAGCTGAACATGAGCCAGCAGCGTGCCCAGGTGGCCAAGAAGGCCAACGGCATTCTGACTTGTATCAGCAATACTGTGGCCAGCTGAGTAGGGAGGTGATTGTGCCACTGTACTCGACACTGGTGAGGCTGCACCTCGAGTACTGTGTTCAGTTTTGGGCCCCTCACTACAAGGAGGACATCGAGGTGCTGGAAGGTGTCCAGAGAAGAGCAACAAGGCTGGTAAGGGGTCTAGAGAACAAGTCTTATGAGGAGTAGCTGAGGGAACTGGGGCTGTTTAGTCTGGAGAAGAGGAGGCTCTACAACTACCTGAAAGGAGGTTGTAGTGAGGTGGGTGTTGGTCTCCTCTCCCAGGTAACTAGCGACAGGATGAGATGCAATGGCCTCAAGTTGTGTCAGTGGAGGTTTCGATTGGGTATTAGGGAAAATTGCT